TTCAGCTGTTCCAGTTGTAGATGGGAAACAAAGAGCTTTCTGTCTAGATTTGCAGGGATGGTTCTCATTTTTATACAACAGAATAGTGAACATTTGGGATATCCTTAACCAAGTTTAATTAAATTAGTCTTCGAATATAGGAAGGAAACTCTTACTTCTCTCGCCCATCACCAACAACTGCAATCCTCTTGCTGTCCTCTGTCCATGCAATGTCCTTGACTTTCCCTGAAATGGGGGTATACTCATACTTGAGCATGTGTTCCTTCTGGGTGGTGTCCCAGATACGGATCTTCCCTGCTACATCTGTAAGGCCAGAAAGCATCATTGTAAAAAACAACAAACAATAAAAAAAAAAAACTGGCCTAAATGATAAGTATTTAACAGGGCTCTGACCTCCAGATGCAATGTAGAACCCACTGGGAGCATACTTGGCAACAGTAACTTGATGAGCATGCTCGGTATAAATGTCTGCAATCGCTGGATTCTAGAAAAGACAAACGTAAAACATCAGGTTGTTAAATACATAGCTGCACTGAAAACACTTATTAACAGGGATCAATCTAACTTGCTTAAAAGAATGAAAACTAAGATAACAGTTTAACCTCCTGTAATACATGGTTTGGCAAAGCACAGAGGAAAAACACAAGATTACATTTGCTGTTATGTTCAATACATATTGGGATCACTCTCAGGTTTTTCAGAGCCAACCGTTATTACATAGGCAGGATTTTACAGCACAATGCAACATCTTATTCTAAAACCAAACAGACCTAAAAAAAAACAACAACAAAAAAAAAAACACCATGCACTTATATTTTCAATGAATATTATTATAAGTAAAGATAATTACCAAAAACCCACAAGTATACAAACATTGAAGATTACCTCAACATTTCTTATGACGACACATTTGCCGTTGGTGTACAGGAAGTTGTTTCCTTTGGGATCGCCACCAATTACCTTCGCAACTCCCCTCTCCATCTGGGGGAGGCTGGCAAACACACTCTCTGCAGAAAAAAAAAGGAAACAAGACGTTAACAAGAGTCAAAGGTGATGAGACCTTACTGGACCCACAAGATACTGGTTTTTGATCCACTGTGAGAAGGCATGAGCTGAAAACATCCTCTTTTCTGATCTCCATTGTATCATTCGGAACATACCCTGACTCTGGAAAATCCTGGACTTTGAAAGGCTGGAAGCTTTTTTTGGAAAACATGTAGCTTAGGTAAAGAGCTGCTTTCTCAAGGGAGTACATGTAAAAGGTTATGTCTTACCACCAATGCAAGAGGCTAAAAAGCTTAGGTATCATTTGTAATACATTAGGAAAATCTTGATGCACAAAAAAAGCCAAACATTACAAGGAATAACTTGCAAGTGAAAACTTAAATGAATATTTAGCAACATGGTTCAGCTAAAGTTAAGATTAGTCTTCTTTACATCGCCCATGGGCAAAGCACTTAATCTAGTCTTGTTTATTGGACACTAGATTCACATTCACTTTAACTACCATACATATATTTATTATAGTGGTGATCCTATATAAATCCATTCTAAAAAGGAAAGTGAATTTAATGAAGCATAAACATAAAAAGTACCTTTGTGATTTATTACAATATGTGCAGATTAGGAAACAGACTTGACCAGGGCTCCTCCTCAATCCCAGTCCTCATGGTCTGGTGTCCTGCACCTTTCAGATGCGCTTCTGCTTCCACACACCTTAATCAAATTGTTGAATTGGCTCCTCTGTATTCAGCCAGGTTCTCCAGACTCTTGCTGTTGACCTGATTATTTGACCCAAGTGTGTTAAAGCAGAGGCCCATCTAAAAGGAACAGGACACCAGCCCCTGATTAACCCTGGACTGACAGTTTAATATGCAAAACAGTCAACTTTCAATGCAAGAATCACAACAGTGAAAACAACTTTCTTTGTCAGAAGCAACATCTGAAAAGGGACTTGAAAGAGAACTGGCAAACATTTATAAAAGAATCAAAAAGAAGGCATTGAATGTGTTCAAACAAAAAGGTAGGCCAAAACAAACAATGCATTTAAATTGTTGGACATCAGAATTCAGGAAGAATAAAGGTAGAAGAGCAAATCTGATCTTTTTAAACACTTCAAGAGAAAACAAATATAATTACAAAAGTGCTGAGAGTAAAATATATATAACACTTCCCAAAATCTGACTATTTCTGATCACTTCTACATAAAAAGCATGCATTGTCAAATCTATTGAACTATGACTTATTGAAGATAATAGGATGTCAGCAATACAGCAACGGATTCCAGCAGTTTCAACCCAAACAAGTGTAATAACGATAGTAAGCAAGTTTCTTTTGAATTCCTCTGATGAAAAGCTGAAATTTTAAGCAGAAATATCAGTTTTTAAACAGCCAGGTCTCGCGTGTCAGTCCCTGTCTCGACATGTCACAACAAAACGACGTAAGCAGAACTATTTCCTCTTAAAGCTCAGCTAGCTGACGCTAACTTGCAAAAACTACCTCTAAACGCTACATTTAGGCAGCATTTACAGCCAGGGGATCTTTGAAAAGAAGCGCAATCTTGCAGACAAAGCTTGGATTTTAAAGTCACTGCAGCATTTTATTTTTTGTCTAAAACTTAAGTGTCAAAAAGCAGCCCATAGAAATGGGCGAGGCTAGCAAGCTAAAGACTACCGGTCAGACTAGCCGAAGCTGCTGTTTTTTACTCTTTTTTTCGCTTCGTTTTACTCAGCTATAGCCGAAGGACGTCCCAGACTTACTCAGTTCATACGGCATTGTTGCTGCTGGTCCTAAGCTTCTGGTTAGTCTTTCCAATGAATGAATATAGAGACAGAGACGCTCCTCCGGCTGTATGCCCTGCCCTGCCTAATCACACAAACCCGGAAGGGGCCGCTGCTCTCTGGCTGCCTGGCTATGCCCATATATGGTAAACTCCGATCATACGTTACTGCTTTCAGCCAATAGGGGCGCTGCAGCGATTTGGATCAATTTTACCTAAATATGGTCTTTAAGACTCCAAGGCAACATAACCCATATAATTAACATTGATAAAGTAAAACTATAAAATTATTCTAAATGAGATTTCTGTTTTCTCATTTTAATTGTTAGGGCATGATTGGTAATGGACATGTACTTAACAAAGAAACCTAATGTTCTGAGAATCAAAATTAAAATAAATGAAATATTATTATATAATATTATAATATCGGCCATTGGTCTTAGTTTGGATAATTTGGGTCAAGTACATCTGAGTACCACGAATAACCAAAATGAATAACCTCACTATGCAAATGAGAATACGATACTAACCAATTATGGGGTGAAACACTGAACTACATATTTAAATTATTATGTCATACTGTCATTAGAAAGTATCACCAGCCCAGAATAGGACTGGTAATCCCCTGGCTATTTACAATAGTAGCCATTCAAAATTTCCCCACTTTCCTTTATGGGCCCTTGGCAGGTCCCCAAAAAAGGTCCCCTTTTTAAACATGAGTCTTTGTACTAAAATATTCATTCTGTCATGATTTGTGGACTTTAAGATTTAAAGAGAAGCGTCATCTCATGGTCAGACTCTGTAATTCAGTGAAAGGTTGGAGTCAGAGTAAAAAAATATGCATGCCCAGGAAAAGGAGGGGGTCAATCCAGTGGCCGGAAGCTGGAGGGGATTTCGCTGCGAGTTGCATGGAAGTGGGCTGACATTCGGCTGGTGTTTGACTGGGAAGGGCCATTTTAAATTGTCTGCTACGGGTTTGCTCCGTAGGGTGGCTGGGCTCTCCCTTAGAGATAGGGTGAGAAGGGTCATCCGGGAGGGACTCGGAGTAGAGCCGCTGCTCCTCCACGTCGAGATGAGCCAGTTGAGGTGGCTCGGGCATCTGGTTAGGATGCCTCCTGGACGCCTCCCTCGTGAGGTGTTCCGGGCAAGGCCCCCGGGGAAGACCCAGGACACGCTGGAGGGACTATGTTTCTCGGCTGGCCTGGAAACGCCTTGGGATTCCTCCTGAGGGGCTAGAAGAAGTGGCTGGGGAGAGGGAAGTCTGGGCTTCCCTTAAGCTGCTGCCCCCGCGACCCGACCCTGGATAAGCGGAGGAAGATGGATGGATGGATGAATGTAGGTTAGGAAATTGCTGAGTGTAAAATGTTGTTTCAGTGATATACTATACATTTTCAGGACAGTTGCTTTGGTGTTTTCTTCCTAAAAGATAGGATAGGATAATCAACCCTAAAGGACATATAACATAAAGTTTGTCCCGGTCACCAAGGTCAGCAGAAATAAGATTTTGTGTTGCATTTTTATTAAAGTTACCCATTTAAAGTTAAATGTCTGTCTTTGTGTAGTACATTTTGGTGAAAAGACTATCTAAAATTCTTTACATACATACATATATATATATATATATATATATATATATATATATATATATATATATATATATATATATATATATATATATATATATATATATATATATATATATATAGAGAGAGAGAGAGAGAGAGAGAGAGAGAGAGAAAGAGAGAGAGAGATAGAAGTCTGTGTGCATTATGTGTAAAAGGAAATATTTTAAATGCAGATATGTATCTGTCTCCTATTTTAATTTTGTAATTCGTTTTTCTGACAATTTTGTTAACATTTTATTCTTCTATGAGTAATTTAACACTACTTCTGTGTTTCAGTTGTGTACTCTAAAATGTTAGAAGTTAGAATCATGTCTGAAATCATTCTACTGGGTAGAATCAGTTTGAAACACAGATAGCCTATTTGTAGGTTCATTATTATTTTTCATTTATCAATTATCTTTTTTTCCCTGTACAATATAAAATCTATCATTTACGTGTAAATTTCATGCTGCACACGAGAAGCAGTTGAAGAGCTCTATCGTGGTTCTATCTCTCCTATTTTCAGAGATGTACCATATGCAGCAAATCATACATATTTAATGATGTCAAATATCGTCCTAAAACATGTTGTTCCGTCTATGTCCTCTTGGGGGCAGAGTTACGTCTTGGTCTGTGGCGCTGCAATAGCGCCAGAGAAGAAGAAGTCATCCAGCTTCTCCTGGAACTATGGCGGCCGCCTTGAGAGGAACGTTAGTAACATTGGCCAAGGTGAGTGCAGACGCTGCTGACTAAATTACAGGGCTTTTACATCTGTTAGAATGAGTAGCTGAGGTTTATTTCTAACGCAGGTGATAAGTTTGTTTTAACTGTTTAAAGTAACGGTCTGAAACGATGACTTGAGCCATGTGTGTCAGAAGTTACTGCTAACCAAGAGACTGAAACAAAAACAAAAAAAAAACATCAATTAGGATAAAAAAAACGAATTCTTGTCATTTTTTGGTCGACAGAGTAGAACTGAATCTACCTGTGTCTCCAAGTTATCAAAATTATATTAGTGCTTCTGGTAAACTTGGTAAGATGATGTATATGTCAGTTATCATTTAAGTAGTCTAGTTGTGGGTAAATGGCCTGAGAACATTATTTCTCTGTTTTAATTTGCAATAGTCAAAGGTTTTCAGACTGTATCGGGCTTGTACTTCAAAGGCACTGCATGACCACACCCTGCATCCAGATACCGACCACAGAGCCCTTTTATTCGGATAGCATGTCTTTTATCAATTTATCTTTAAAGTGGGCAGCATCCCATAAATGACTCAAAGCATCTGATCACTGAGGCTTTCGCCTGTTTAACTGTGTTGATCCGAATGACAGCCTGGGTGAAGAAACTATGGCAGGTGGTTTATGCAAAGAAAGCCTCAACAGTTTTTCATCCAGGATATGTGGGATCAGCAAAGATGCTTTTTTTCCCCAACTGACCAAAGACCTGTTTGAGGTGCTGGATGGAGGGGTTTTCATTCCTGTTGATCCTCCTGTGTCTTATGGTTTGGACCTGTCCTGTTTGGTGTCAAACCACTTGGAGTCAAACCACTCATTGATGGAAAAACACAGACCTGACTAAATGATGCCAGAATAGACGCACACAGCATCTCCTGTGGAAGGTTACTTGCAGGTGTTGATTGTTTATATAGAGACTAAAGGTGCCATCCAGCCTCACCTCCTGCTGTTTATCAGGAGGCTGTCAAACCTCTGGCAGGTTGAAGTGGGTACTCTGAGCTTGGTAAACTTCTGAGGCTGAGCTAAAGTCCACAATCAGGATTCTTGAATATAGCCCTGGATAGAATATCTGGTGCAGGATGAAGTGTGCTCCCAAACTGACTGGATCATCTGCCAACCTATTTGCTCATTATGCTGAGGTAAACAGTAATCTAGAGGCGTCCAAATTTTTTTTGTCACGTTCACCAAATAAAATTATCTAAAATTATACTGGGATTTGTTTATGTAGTTGTTTTGTGTTTGTTTTTTTCACCTGCTCAACAAAACATTAAGCAGGTAATCAAGTCGAGATTGAAAAGGGATATCTAAAACACTTCTTTTGAGTTTGTTGGGGGGGGGATAGTTCTGTCTACTCAGCAAAAAGAACTGGGTATGTTTTACTCTTACTTTAAACCTTTGCTGTATTTCAACAAGTTTAATAGATTAATTAAAACCAGATTTGTATTTTGCAAACTCTGTATTTGAGTAAAAGTCTTCATAAATATATGTCATGCTTTTTTCTGTTAAATTGAATTGGATACAATGCAAAAAGTCTGAGTATGAATTATTTTACGTTATTATGGATAGAATATTATATCAAATCCCTTTATTGTCCCACAATGGGGAAATGCCGTCGTTTAAAGCAGCAAACAGATTATAGAAAAAAAATGGGGTGGTCTCTGTAGTATTCTCTTTAGCACAGTAACATGTTGGGGAGGTGCGGCATAGTTATTTTAAGCGACATGCACCCTAAACTAACTCTTAAAAACTGACACAATCAGTGGCATATGTAAGGATTTTAATCTCTAGGATGTTTTTATTGTAAAAAATTGATTTTTTTTTGTTGACATTTTAAGTTTTTAATACTTTAAGATAACTAAGTCTTGGTGATTTAAAAAAATTAGAATTACTTGTAGAATTTTGACTACAACTGTACAACTGTTGGCATTTTTTTAACTCTAAAACAGAATATTGTCTGCAGCTGCTAGTTATATAAAACGGTAAATTCATATGTATGCAAACTGATCAATTTTGCATTTATTCTGTAATCATACGTAATTTATAGTGCTGTCAAAATTATCGCGTTATTAACGCGTTAACGCGAGGCCATTTTAACGGCGATAATTTTTTTAACGTGAGATTAACGCTATGTGGTTTTATGGTACAATTTTCCAAGTACATCCCGCTGCAGCCTGCGGGAAGGCGGGGCTTTTTTCCCCCAGTCTATGCATTTTCCATAGGCTTCGAGAGCGGAGCTCCTCAAGGAAAAAAGACGCTCATACACTGGGTAGCGCTAGTGCCTTTTCTTAAAGCCCCACCACCAACAAACAAGTTGAGTGTCTGGTAACTAGTAGCAACCTGAAATATGCTGAGAAAACAGATTACTGAGGTGAAATGGAATCTGCTACGGCACTCTTGCTGTCTGTGTACGCCACAGGTCGGTATCGTGTGTGTGTGTGTGTGGGTGGGTGTGTCTGTGTGTGGGTGGGTGGGTGGGTGTGTGTGTGTTCTCATTTTTGTTAAGAGGCTGAAAAGTAACTTTCTAGAGCATAGACTACCTCCATCTAGTGATGTCGGTCTATTGATTTTGATGTATTGATTGAAAATTGTTCATTATTATCTTGGTTAATTAACATCTAATGTTAACTGTACTACATTTTATAGCAGTAGGGTAAAATGCTTGTCTTTGTTCAAAAGACTGTATTAACTGTAAAGACTGTCTTTTACATCAGCCTGTTTTCAGGGCTTTTTTTTTTGGCTACATATTTGTTATTTTTTGCTACATGCCTCCCCATCTTCTTGCCATATGTTTCTATGGCATAAATCAGTGTCTGTTACCTGTTTTCATTTTAAAAAAAGAACATTGGCACAAACCTAGCCTGTATGTATTTTTTGTATGTCATCGAGAGTATTTAAATGATTTTCAATCAGAAAAAAAATTTGCGATTAAAATGCGATTAATCGCGAGTTAACTCAGGCATTGATGCGATTAATCGAGATTAAAAAAATTTAATCGATTGACAGCACTAGTAATTTATTGTCAGTATTGTCTGCTGTTTCGCAACAATGTCTGTCATGTAAGAACTTCATATTTCTAAAGTAGAATACAGAAAGATTCTTGGAGTAAGGGTCTGCTTTAAACACACTTTGTTTCACCTTGGAAGATCCCAGGGTTTGTTTGTTTTTCGACAATGTTCTGAAATTTGAAACTTTGATAGAAGAAAATGAAAACAACTTGTGATTTTTCTGCTTTAACTTTGAGCTTGTTGACATTTCTCAGGGCTTGGGAGGTGTCCGCCTGCATCAGCTGGCCACTCGACCACTAAGTGTCTCAGCAAGTCTTTGTGGAGCTGAAACCCCACTAGCCCGCGCTGATGGTATCTTCAAAGTCACCATGGTTCCAGGGGATGGAGTAGGACCTGAGCTGATGACCTCGGTCAAGGATGTCTTTAAGGTACTCTTAGCGAGTCATGATCCCTTCTCTCCTGGTTGCACACAATATGAGATCAAAGCCATGATGAATGATTTATTTATTACATCATTATATTTAATTTAAGGCAGGTGACATCCCTGTTGAATTTGAAGAGTTCCATCTCAGTGAAGTCCAGAACATGGCCAATGAGGAGAAATTAGAGGAAGTGTTGACCTCAATGAAAAACAACAGAGTGGCCATTAAAGGTACGGTCACTTTTAATATGGGATCCAAAATGTGTCCTTAAAAAAGAGGTTTCTAATTTCTGCTGAAGTATGGGTTTTGATTAGAATATATTTTATATCTGGATAAGTACAGAGATGTTTTGCTTGGTTTTGTTTCCTGCTTTTGTTTAAAAGCTCCATTTAAATGACATGTCATTTTTTTAATTGGGAAGTGGAACAGAAATATAAATCGTTTAAAGTCTGAGGGGATCCTACCCAAAGGTTTGCTAATTTAAACTCTTGCAAACCTGCAAGTATTTTCACCAGAGTCTGATGCGCTCAGATATCTTCATTCCTGTCGTCTGTAATCCAGCTGCAGGCCCAGTTGTTAAGTGTAGAATAATCAGGTTTTTCACTGTTAAAACAAAAGCTGTTCTGATGTGTGTCCCCAGCTTAAGTTTAATTTTCTTCCTCTCCTTAAAAAAACCCTTTTATATATTTGAGATATAGTAGTTACTAATTTTTGTGATGATCAATTGTATTTCCAGTAGCTGGTTTTGAGTTCAATCAGTTTTCCTCACATATTTAGAATGGAAACATATTTATGAAATATTTTTAAACAATAGTTATGTTTTTATAAAGGGAGATGTTTACAATTGTGCAACTTTTTTATGTGGGAGAGGATGCAGCAAATGCAAAATATAATTTCAGTGGTTAGAAATGTCAATATTTTTGTCATCCCTCCATCTGAGTTCACACCTTTAAATAAATATCGACTAACTTCATAATTTAACATAAGCAATTATCCTTTGTAAATATATACCTATATATTTGGTCCACTAGGAAAGATTCACACACCAATGGAGTACAAAGGAGAGTTGGCATCTTTTGAAATGAAACTAAGGTAATTAAAGGAAAGCTAAAAAAAACAAATAACTGCTTGTGCTATGTTGGAATTTAGCTGTTTAATTTTTTTAAATATATTTTCCCAGGCGTAAACTGGACCTGTTTGCTAATGTGGTCCATGTGAACAGCCTGCCGGGCTACAGCACTCGCCACAACAACCTGGACCTCGTCATCATTCGTGAGCAGACTGAGGGGGAGTACAGCTCCCTGGAGCATGAGGTAAACGCCTCCCATCAGGACTTGTGCATTTAAAATTCACTGCCCTTTTTTTTGCTTTTAGTCCTATTTTCTCTCTATCCTATTAAAATCATCACTGTGGAACTGCTCATAGAGTGTTCCAGGTGTGATCGAATGTTTGAAGATCATCACCAGGGAGAAGTCACGGCGCATCGCTAAGTTTGCCTTCGACTACGCCACTAAGAAGGGTCGAAACAAGGTCACAGCAGTTCACAAAGCAAATATCATGTGAGGGTATTTCTAGGACATAAATGTTAGAACTTGAGGAATCGTGATCATAATTTGTATGACGATGATGCTGATGCCCATCCTTATCTTTCCAGGAAATTGGGGGATGGCTTATTTCTGCAGAGCTGTGCGGAGGTGGCAGAGCTGTACCCTAAAATCAAATATGAGACCATAATCATTGATAACTGCTGCATGCAGGTATTTAAAGCTTTTAGATTTCACCCTACTGTATTCAATATGAGTTTGTTTCTACCTCCTCAAATTATTGCAGTACTGCTGTTGCTTATTTCAGTGAAAGTAAAATTACCGGTATCTTATCTTTACAGTTGTTCTTTTTTTACTCTTTCTTTCTTCTTTTTCTTTCTGTTTCATATTTAATCCACTAATTTCTTGTATTTTACTCCAGCTGGTCCAAAACCCTTACCAGTTTGACGTCCTGGTCATGCCCAACCTTTATGGGAATATCATTGATAACCTGGCAGCAGGTCTGGTTGGCGGAGCCGGAGTCGTCCCAGGGGAAAGCTACAGTGCAGAATACGCTGTTTTTGAAACAGTGAGTTTAATGAATCTGATCCTTTGTTTGATGCATATCAGTTTCAAAGCTTGGCCAGTCCTTCATAATATGAACACAGTACAAGGGAAAACCAAACATTTGATTTAAACTTTACAATGCATCTGTGTCACTAGGTGAAATAAAAGTGAGGAGAACCATGACAGGTAATGTGTAGGAAGCAGTTGTTAGGTCATTTAAAAAATAAAAAAAAATTGCATGTGTGTAGTAGTGAATTATTACAAAATGAAATGATACCCTCTATGTTATATAAACTTCAAGTCTCTGATCGTTATTCTTTAAATGTTGGACAGGGGTTGCCTTATGGCATCTCTGAACTAAACGAATAAATGTAAATGTGCCCAAAAACAGAAAGTAAAAACTGCAGAAGATGACAGTTGAGGACGGAGTCTGCTACTGTAAATTAAGCATTTTATCTTTTCTTGCGCCACGTGATCTAAAAGGGTCATGAAGGGAGGTCATGGCCTAGTGGTTAGAGCAGTGCACTTGTGCTGAGAAAGGTGCAAGTACCCGGTTCGATCCCCACAGCCGGCACTGGCTCTCTGAGCAAAACCCACACTGCTCCTTGGGCACCGGACAATGGCATCCCACTGCTCCCCAGGGGGATGGGTTAAATGCAAAGAGTGAATTTCCCCATTGTGGCACAATAAAGTTTTATTTTACTCAACTCTTTGAATTGGTGTCAATCACGCATGTGTTTGGTTATTAGACTCGAAGCCAGGATTTATGAAAAAAGTAAAAAAAGACATCACAGACTTCTTTAAAAGTCAAAGTATAATGTATAATGCTACGTTCAGACCGCGACCGATGGAGCAGTAAAAAGGCAGCTGCTGTTTCATTTTTGATGCTTGCACACATTAAGGTCCAACGCACCTCAAATGCATCTTTGACGCTCCTGAAGGGCTTCCAATAAAGTGTGTACTTCTGCTGCTCCTGTGTTCAATAGCAGTGGGAGGCTTTGATATATTTGCTGTTATAAGTTTGTAAAAAGTAATTTTAATATGTTTTTAAGTGCAACCTTTCAGTTCACCTGAAAACTTCATCTCTAAATTCAGTTCATCAAGATTACGATCCTGCCTTCAAATATTATTTAGCTGTGGACCAGCACAAAACCCCCATACACAGGTAGTGCGCTGTCACTAGAAAACACCTCAACAGCTGCTTCTATCCTGGTCCCTTCTTGGTTGTTTTCCACTACTGTTCCTGGCAGCTGAAAGGAGATGTTAGCCGTTTTATGTACGTAATCCAAACTGCAGGCCCCAGAATAATAAAAGCAAACATATTTTTCAGAACATATTAAGTTAATTTAGGCATCAATAAACTTTCAGGGGAGTGATAATAGAGATCTGCATCAGCATCACTGTGTCTGTCTCCCTTCCAGCTCCCAGATCAGCTTCTCTGATTGGTTGATGTGGCACGTAAAGCAGCAAAAGTTTAATTTTGCTGCGCCTTAATGCGCGTAAACAATTCACTTTGCATGTAAAGCAGCTGCTTCTAATTCTTCAGCATATGTAATGTAAGTTACATTCAAAGAACTGTGTAACACACCCCTACCAAAACACATTCACTGGCTCCATAAAGCAGCAGATCCACTTCAGGATCATCTGCCGCATTTTAAGGTTTTCAGTAACCTTGTAAAGTAAACTGGTTTTATTAAAAGTGCTGATAAATAAAATGTATTACTGTTATATATTATTATCATAAAAATGCAAAAAACTACAATATGTGAATGTGATTTTATATATCAAAGCTCATAATAACTAAAACAGTGTTTTTAATCTACATTGATTGCTGTTCCCCAACAAAAAAGATGTTTAAAACAAAGGTGTTTAACTTGTATATAGTAGTTATATAAAAAAAAAGTACCTTACCTCCCTCCACACACACACACTTCTGAAATCTAAATTTCGTCTATGTTTGCATCAAATACAAAGGAAAATAGTGAATTTGCTTAATTACTTTTTTTTTTCTTCAAGCATTTTGATTCCAAAGACAAAAAACTGGAGATATGATAAGAGAAAAAGCATATTGTAAATGAAAATCTCTCTAAATGATAGGCTATTAATATGTCCATATACACTGTGTTAAATCTGACTTGATAAAGGTGTATCCTTCTGTGATAGGCCCTCAACATTTTATGAGAAAAATGGTCATGAATGTATAGTACATTTTTTCTCATTGTTTGGGTTTTAATGGATAAAGTGCATTAAACAGCCTAAAGTTCACTTCTTTTTGTAGAGGACAGAACGTGTCATTGTGGTAAAAGTTTGAAACATCTGAGTTTAGTAGGAAGGGATCTGATTGTCTTAATGAAAGGGACATTTTTAAGTGTCAGTGTTGTTTGGATTAAGGCAGAGGAAACAGAGGAAAACATTTTTAGAGCTAAATGCTTCACAGGTTTCTTTATTTCCTGCCTGTTTTCTTTCAGGGAGCTCGACACCCCTTTGCACAAGCAGTGGGAAGAAACATTGCCAACCCCACAGCAATGCTCCTCAGTGCTGCAAACATGCTGAAACACCTAAAGTGAGACTTTTAATCTGTTTATGAACAATTCCCTTTGAGAGATAACACTGGTTGCCTTTTAACTGGTATCGTATTCTTCTTCAGCCTGGAGTACCACTCTCAAATGATATCAGAAGCTGTCAAGAGGGTCATCAAACAAGGAAAGGTAACAGTCTTTTATATTGAGTGTGAAGTTTGAATGTTTTATGCTTATTAATGGATGCATTGTCACTGAAAATGCTAACACCCTGAACACAGGGCACTTGTCTGCATCCTGGGAGAGTAATAACACTGGGAGGTACAGATGAATGTGGATGTCTGCACATCCATACCGATGTTCTTTAAATAACATGCTTACTATGCTCTTATTTGCAGATCAGTACCTGAAAACGTTTCGCCAAACATGCAGACGCTACATAAAATGCTGCTTCTTATAAAATCAAATAATTTTGTTTGGGTTTTTTTTTTTACCAACGCTAAACATAAAGACTTAGTTTTTAAGTCTTTATGTGGCTGCATATGAAGTGTAATGTTAGCATTTCTTGGTCTCAGAATGAGGAAACCTTCCTAACAACAAGTATTGGAGAGCCTTTGATGTATTGGCGTGTGTCCTAGGCTTGTGGCATTTCTGTGCTGCTTAGTTTTTAATATTGTTTTTAATATAGCATGTATAGTTTTGTCCTCTTAACTAGTTTGCTTTTGTAAAAAGGTTTGTAAATAACCTTTTTACACTGTGTTCTTGTTAAAATAGCCTCTTTCAAGTCACACATTCCATTGGTCATCTATAGGCTACTGGTAGGTAGTATAGCTACCAGTATACTCTGACCTAAATAAAGGAAATATAGAAAAATACATGATTTATGAATAAAATAGCACCTTTTTAGTTATGCCTCCAGTTATGTTCAACCCCATAAACTATCTTTTGTTGGTTATGATTTTTAAAGTGGATATTTTACAGTTCGGTTTAGAATACTTTTGGTAAGATGTTCTTAAAGACCTTTTGGTAATTTATCAGCCTATAGGTTGTTACTATGATTTGGCATCAGTTTATAGCAGCATTACCATAAAATAGGTCACAATTGTTAGATTTGATCACTCATCTGGGATATCTTTGTTTTTACTGAGTAGTAATTGAGTGTTTTTAATCACCATGTTGCCTGGGAGCCCTTTAATACCTCCACTGTATGGGTACTGGCTACACATGTGTACTCTCCCAGTGGAGAGTTATAAGTTACAATACTGTAGTATTATAACTTAGAATCCAGTAAAACAAAAGAGATGTCTGGGGACAAACTCTTTAAATAACACTTCATAATTTATATTTATTAAATAACCATGAGACATGACAACAGATTTTGATAGAATTTTTACTCGAATTTTGATATTTTTACTCAGGGTTACAGAAGGCAGCTGATTACTAACCGTGCTCTCTTCTCGTGAAAGATCACAAATCACAATTAAAGAAGAATTTTATAGAACTCCAGCATGCTAAATCTTTACATCATACATGTTAGCAGATGAAGAGACATCTTGCTCCAGTCTCATCAAATGATTACAGTGTTTCAGATACAAAGGACTCGCTGTCAAAAATTATCCACTCTGTCCGTGCACCCATTTCATTCTCCAATCTCTGCTATGCACAATTTGTAATGAGCATGATAACTATATATCTGGACAGAGAACCTGTCCTAATAAGATAAGCTACCTGGCAAAACATTGGTTCTGACACACAACAGGCAGGTAAAATTAGGGATTAACAGTATCACACATCATTAATAATATTCTTGACTGTGCAATGGGGGTGGGAACTATGATGTGAAAGGGGCAAAATGACTCAAAGACAACAATTAAATTGGATGAACTCGACCTGCACCAAATGGATCCCTACCAACTCCAGTCTGCTGTTTGTAGTTAGATATTTCTTAAAGCATTACAGCCTATAAAAAGCTGCCTGGAAGTCATGTTTTCTCCTATCCACTTCTTCTCCTTCTGTCCCCTTCTCTCCCTCTACCCTGCTGACGTGTTTGTGTTGTTTGTACACATGTTTTGTGCACATCCCAGGTTCGAACACGAGACCTTGGAGGGTACTGCACCACTGGCGACTTTGTGCATGCAGTTGTGGAGAACCTGCGTCACCGACCCGCTCAATAAGACCCCCCCCTTCCACACTCCTCACTCATGTTGCCCCAGATGTGGACCATGATCCTAACATGACCCGAGGACATGTTAAGACTGAACCCCCCCACTCCTCTCCATGTTGTATCCCATATGTGTTTCGCTGCTTTGACATTAGTGGCCTCCAATGTTTCTACTTCATGTATTTGTGATTGAGCTGGTGTAAAAGCAGTGATTAGTGACCCATTTTGTGAAAGAAAATACACAGTTGCAGCTTTCCATCCCACATTTTGGTCCTCTGTTTTCTCTCCCTGCTTACTGTCCATTTACCTCCATAGTCACCGGCTCTTTTTTGTCTTCATTTGAAAATTGATCATCAAGATTAGCGATTCTGGGTTAAACTAATGTGTAATTTAAATGGGACCTAAATGCTACTTTGCAGTCTTATATATTTTAAATTTCAGCTATTTAATCGTTTCATAACTAGACATAAACGAGATCACTATATGAATTCTTTTTTTTTTGTTCTTTTAAGTATTTAAATGCCTGGAAAAGTTCTAGATTAAATATTTAGTTTTTCCACCCCTGATGAAGATAAATATTTTGATTTTAGGAATTAATTCCAATCTATGAGGGAAAGAATTGGTTTCAAATTATAACCTAATTTAAACGTTTTAGTATTTGGTTTATTTGAGTTTCAACAGCAGAAATGCTAAATTGACGTTCAGAAAAAAAAAAAATCCATAGAAATGAATACCAAGAGCTTTTTCAGAGCTTTTGACTTCTAATCGACTTTAAAGGAGATTTTTTTAAACTGGGCTTTTGGTTCACAAACTGATCTTAATCAAATCATTAAAGAAAGAAGCCTGACATGGCAGGAGTCTAAAAAAATTTATTATGATTTTTATCCTGATTTGTCCAATTTATCATAAAACATATCCTACTTAAATATTTTATAGCTGGGTGTGCTATAAAATGTGTAGTCTGCGGTTTAGATGGAAATTATGGTGACTTCTGTTCTAACAGTTCAACATTATGGGGAATGTGTGTGGAGGGGATTTCTTTCAGTGCTTTTCTCTAATTGTAATCAATATTGTAGATTGGAAAGGCGGAATTAAATCAAAGCTCAGTTATTTATTAGGCATAAATATCACACTGTAAAGCAACAACCAAATAAAGTATTTAAAAGCAGAAAATGTTCCTGTTGATCTATTTAAAAACTGTTTCCTCAGTTTTAACTGTTGTTACCGATAAGATTCTGTTTTCAGATTTCCTGCCACATGAAACGGATAGATTTTTATTTAAACAAAATTCTAAATTGATTCTTATCAAGGCTTTTAAAGCTTCACAAATCTGCAAAAAAAAATTATTATTTTTTTTTTTTTACACCATGGCACTTCAGTTCATATAGAAGTTAAACAGGCATTGTAGAATGCTTTTATCACAATCCTTAATTTTGCATCTCATTGTGTATGTCTCCTTTTTTCATTTTATTTTGTCAGCATTTATCAACCCCAGCACAGGAGGCGTGGAGAAAATGACACCACCATGGAAACACACTTGTTTACTTAAAAGGAAAATTAGAGAAGCAGTTAAACTGAACACTTATGTTTTTGGACAATGGAAGCCAAAGTGTCGGACTTTCAAAGACATCAAGCTGGTAGCTTGTCTTTAACCCTTTTGCTGCAGAGCAGCAATGTAAAGAAAGGGTCAATAATCATCTAAATTAGTAAAAGTACTTAAAATACATCAACCTGTTTTACAGCTTTGTCAGCTACCTACATCTCCAGATCAAGAAAATACAGAAGTGCTGTTTTCCTCACAGCAATGTTACTTGCCCTGCTAAGCTTGTTCTCCATGTCCTTTTATTAAAGGCTCTTTAATATGCAGGCAGTGATGCTGTATGTGGACATGTGCTGCAGCAGCTGTGCATATGGTAACACGCTGTCCTTATGTTTGCAACAGGTGCGCACCGGAGACCTGGGGGGCTATGCGACAAGTGATGAGTTCACCCGGGCTGTCATTGCTAACCTGCCAGTCTGAGCTTTCTTAAAGCAGACCTGTCAGCTGCTGTGACACACATCCTTTATTATTTTTTTTGGTCATGGTGACCATGCACTGTTTCCCCAATGTATTACATAACCTCAAAACGAGGATGATCTGCAGCAATGATTTTAAAAATATGGTTTGTTATCAACATAAGACTTGTGAAGGCTTATACACCGCACCTTTGCTTCTTGATTGTGTAAAACTGTAATGGCTTCGCTTCTGTTCCTTAAGCAGCAGTAAAAAAAACACGGATGTGTACTTCATATTATTTATTACATTTTTTTTTTATTGCTTTATCTATGAAAAGATGCGAATAAAATATGAGATATAACAACTAGAGTGTGAAGCAGCTGCATGTCTCTTCGTGAAGAGCTGATGCAGTATTCAGTGGTATTAAAACTTAATCAGCTGTGGGTGGTTTAGGCAGCATGTGTTACCTTAGAGCAGGAGCGACAAGAACTTACTTATTCCTTGTGTCCAGGCAGATCAGGTGGAAAAGGGGAAATCTGGCATGTATGAGTCATCCGAGAGTTTGTTAGTCACATGTGAGCGTTGGGTTATGTTACAGGATCTCTTCAGGATTGACTAGATTTATTACTTAGTAACAGTCGGAGAAATTCACAGGGCTTCCAATTATTGATCAGCAATATTTTTGATGTGTAAACTATTTAAACCTTCCAACTACAAAAAAAAAAATTCTTATTTTCGATTTAAGACTTTAAATTAAAAGCTTTTAAAGCAAAAAAAAAAAAACTCTTCAAGAGCTCTGCTTTAATTTGCAATATTTGATCAGTGAAGAATAAAAAGAAGAACACTGCAGGACTCTGAATCATAGCTGTAGATTAGATGCATTAGAGGCACCAGTTAGGTTTCCCTTTATTGGAAGGGATCATTAAGGGTTTGGCCAGTTTAATGTAAATCCATCCAACAGATGGCATGCTGCAGGAGAAAGTTGTATAGCACTTTCAGAATTCGAGCTGTTTTGGTCAAATTGGTAATAACCAACACTGATACCATGAGTGGCCTTTGGGTTGGGAGTCAGCACTGCAACCAGGTCTCAACTCCCACTTTCTAGAGGTATTCTCAGAATAATAAATATAATCATCTTGAATCCTAAAGAATTGAGAAATTGGTTTCCCACCTTTTGTCTAATCCTTTGTTGAAATCTCTTTTATGCACTGGGATCACCTCCAGTGATATCAAGTTATTCGGCAAGAGAAATGCTGACACACATCCTCATACTGCCTCCGCACTGGAAAAACAATCTAGAAATAAGTACAAATTTCTTAAATTAAGTATATTTAACCTTAAATGAGGTAGTCAATGGAATATATTGTATTTTTACTCTTAAAATAAGATAATTAGATAACGTGCACTTGAACTAAGACAATGCAATGGGTTTTTTTTTATTTTAAATATAAATTGTCATCTTCCATTGGCAAAATGTCTCTTTTACCTCTTCAATTCGAGAACAAATGCACTTATTTTAAGAAAAAATGCACTTATCTAGATTTCGATTTTTTTCTAGTTCAAGAAAGGCTGTTTGGGTTTGGAAGAGAGGATTTTGCACCCAGAAAAAGGTTTTCCGTTCTAAATGTTAGGGAGCAAATAAAATGAATACAGTAGAATATTAATTTCCTGCAAGCTTTGTTACATAAAAAGTAATAATTAACACAAGAAGTTTATAAGAACCGATGTCACAAGTGAAATTCTTCATTGTGAGATCAAAAAAGTTCTACCTAATCTAATATATTGGGAAAATGAGACCCTTTTTTTGTTCCAATATCATGCTCTACATATATATTACCTGGTGAACACAATGAACACAATAAAAAATATTTTTAATACATTTTTAATAATTGTAGATAGCTGGTGAACTACTTCACTTATGAAAGAAAAATGTAACAACTTAAATACGTTTTTTTCCAGTAATTAAGATTACATATATCCTATCCACAATACAAAGTGCTAAGATGTTAATTTCTAAAGTGATTCGTTGAAATAAATACAGAAAAAAAAACTGCTGGATGTGCAATAAATGTGAAATCTGAGCGCTGCAGTGTGCTGCATGCAACTACAAGGCCTGCCAGCAGGGGGCGCTGTCTGCTATGAAGAAACAGTGAATCGGAGTCAGGGCCTGGCATGGGAATTTTTTTTTTTTTCTCTCTCTCCTTCCCATTCTTCCTATGCAGACAGACACACAACATGGCGGACTAGAATAGTCGGCCGACGCGCCCGGATACAGCGGATAAACTGCGGAGGTTTCACCATCCAAGGAGCAGAACAAAGGACTCTCCATCCCGGACAACACTTTGGGAGGATTCGCTGTATTTTCCAGGAGGAGCCATCTTTATCTGGATCTAGGAGGAAAAAAAACTGACTGCGAAGTGTTGGCAGTGTGTCCCAGGTTGCGTTTCCCTCCCACCCCCCAACCCCGCTTACACTCCTCTCTGTTCCCGGGGTGTGGAGACAGGGGCCGGGTTGGAAAACGTGGAGGAGAAGGAGCAGATAAACTCCCCTTGTCTGCTGGCCATTTTTTTCCTCCCTAGAAAGGGTTCCCTTCTGGGCGCCGCAGGAGTTGTGGTGAGTTTACTTGTTTTTGTCGGGCAAAAAAAAAAAAAAAGAAAAGAAAAGCCGAATCCCCACTTGTTACAATGTCGCTGCGCGCGAGCCTGTTTCCTCACCCACCAACAAGCACTTTGTTTCATCTTTCAGCCACAAATAAACCCCCCTGCGTGTCAATGGATAGGAACAAGAAGTGGGATAGAGTTAAATACTTTTAAACTGTAACATTCAGAAGTAGCTCGGAGGCAGGGAGGGTTTCTTCTTTTTCTTTTTTCTAAGTGAAGGGGGGCTCCGTGAAGGAAGGGGTAAACTTCTTCTTCTTCTTCTTATGGGATTTTATGGCGGTTGGCAGACTTGTGAATTGTGCATTACCGCCACCAACTGATATGGAGTAAAGCAAGAAAACAGGAAACGATTCACCCCCCCAAAAAAAAAAAAAAAAAAAAAAAAAAAAAAAAAAAAAAAAAAAAAAAAAAAAAAAACCTGTGTAACTTAAACCAACATAATACTAAATCACATTTGCCCATATAATTTTAATTTACTCTAGGTCATCTTAACTCTGCCAGTTTCTGATGGTCCCATCGGTCCTCCCATCATACTTCCAACCATCTCCCAGTTCAAATCTTTAATGTCCAGATATTTTTCTGCAGCCTTCACTATTATTTTGATTTTTTCCGTTTTTTTTGTTGTCTGTGCAGTACAATTAATAACTTCTACCATGAAAAGAACAAAATTTGTCTTTTTAACAATAAGTGAGTCTTCATCAATTTTTAGAGATTTCTCTAGAGGTTTGGAATTTGCTGTGTGTTGAACTGTAGGTTTGGGTTTTTCTGACTGAGATGGGATCCTTTTTGCAGCTTCAGCGTAGGTTATTCCGAGCTCAAATTTCATTTTTTTAATTTCCTCAGACCTTTTGCTTGCTTCACAGCCGCGATAGGCAGCAGTATGTTCTCCACCACAATTACAGCATTTTATTTTAGCTTCTTTTCCACATTTTCCGTACTCATGTTCTCCTGCACACCTTCCACACCTCTGTTTCCCTTTACAAACTGCTGCAATGTGACCGAATTTTTGGCATTTGAAACATCTCAATGGTGGAGGATTGTAGATTTTGACATTATAGCTTATGTAACCGATGAATACTTTGCTTGGTAATTGCTCTTCTTCGAATTTAATTAGCACAGATAAACTGTCAGATCTTTCTCCGTTTCTTGTTGTTTTTAACCGTTTTACTTCTTTTACTTTTGCACCTCTTATGTTTTCCAGAATCTCTTTTTCAGAAATTTTTAGAGGAACTCCTCCAATGACTCCCCTGCTGAACTTTTTGTTCTCCATTAAGCTGCACTGAACTCTTATCCCGTCAATTTTGTTGATCCGTATTGCTTTGCCTTGCTGGGCGCTGTCTCTGCAGATAATTAGCAGGTCTCCACTGTACAGAATTCTGGCACCTCTGACTTCTCCGACAAGTTTATTGATGGTTTTTGTTAAGTGAACCGGATTCCAATTTGTAAAAGAGTCTGCCTGATTAACGACTTTGAATATGACTTTGAATTCATTTTGTTGTGCTGTGGAATGTA